AATGCAGCCAACACAAAGGAAAAATGTTTATTAAACAGAAGAACTTACAAAAGCCTGGTGAACCACAGGGAAACACAGGGGATCGCAGGAAACAGAAGCACGAGGAGGACAAGGACTAAACTGGTAACTCCGGGGACAAACACAGCAGCAACAGCAGACACTGAGGACAATTACAGACAAACCGACACAGACACAGACACAAGTGGGGCAAGAGTGATTGAACACAGATGAAACACATTGGGGGGGGCATGTCTGCCATGGCAAACCATGATATGTATATATGTTCGTTTTATTTAGTGAGTTTTTACAAGATGAAAACACCCATCCTGCTTATTTATTTCCTTTGTGTTTTATTTTCCCTTGAACACTTTTAAAAACACATTTCATATCTAACATTTTTGAGCGCCATTTCTCACAATATACACATAATTACAGTGTAACTATCCACTTTGATTGAAAGTACACATCTTACTTTACAGACAAATCATAAAATCCTCCTCATATAGACAAGGGCTCCCAGCACAAATGACAAGTTATATTCCAAAATGAGAGAACATGGAAACTGGCTCTCAATATTTACAAAGGACATTTTGATTTATGAGTGTTAGTGAGTGAATTCTGGAAATTTGGAAATCTAGAATTGAATAATTACTATTTCCTGAAGTGTAATATTTTGGAATAGAACTCCTCATGCACTGATCCACAGTGAACTGTACATGGTACAGCTACAGTATAGACAACTCCAGTGTAAAATCATTCTGTATATAGCTGCGATATTCATCCGTCCTGCTCGCATGATCTGGTCTCTAAGTCACAGCATCATATAACATTGTATAGTAAATCTACCACGATCCGCTGAACAGCATTCTAATATCTGAGCAATGACAGGATGCTTGGGTTTCATTGATGCAGGAGAACATGAAGGTACATACTCTCTCATTGTGCGCATACCTGTACATCCCTTGCCGTCATTTTAAAGGAGCTGTAAGTGATTTCTGATCTCAATTTAACGCTACATAAAGCCACAGTGAGAGACGCAGCTGTAATATGTTGGGAGAAGCAGCAACATCCTTAGTAATCATAACCAGAAACAACCACTTATCTGAATGTGTGGAGACTCATGCATGTTGTCTTTCCATCATCTTTAGCAATAGAGACCTGAGATTGACATACAGTAAATTATTTTATGTGTCAGTGTTCAAATAATGGTTGAGTCTGCAGGAACAAAAGAGGGGTGGAATCATCTGTAACCTACTACAGTAGCTCACATGGTAAACTTAGTAGCAAACTATAGCACTAATTCCCTCATTACAACAACTGCTTCTCTGTTAACATCATTCAGAGAAAAAGGCAAAGTGGAACACCTGACATGACTCCTTGCTGTGGGAATGGACATTACATTGACTTTCTAATGACAACAGGTAAATATGGAAGAAGTTTTGAGTTTGAGGCAGGGGAAATAAGAAAGCCTATTACTAATATAAACCTGTCCCAAATAAAGGTATGGGTCTCTCTGCCAAATGTGAAACATAAGCCTAACTTACAGCCATATTGTCCTCTGCAATAGGTACAAGCAAGACTGAATTTCGGTTTGTCAGTGAACCCTTACAGTATCCTGTCCTCTAGTAGATTTTGGCCCAAAAACACAGAGAAATATATAATGTATATAATTTTAAACTCTTGACCTCTTAACATACACTTTATGGCTAGAAGTATGTGGACATCAGAACATTACACCCATATCTAACTCATGAATCTTTCATTTCAAAACCATGGGCAGTAATGTTCAGTTATAACAACCTCCACATGTTAAGCCTGGCTGCATTCGCTCCCATTTAGCCACAAGAGCACAAGTGATATTAGATGATCAGGTCTGGCTCACAGTAGGTGTTCCAGTTCATCCCAAAGGTGTTGGATGGGCACTGTGAGGGCAGGGTTCTCACATTCTCCCTACCCAAACTACAAATACATAATGTTACCTCAAACTTGAAAGCAGAATCAGCACAAATTCACATCAACATGTGGACAGTGGTGTCCACATACTTTTGGCCATATAGTGCAACTAATCTGGGCTACATGTGAGCAACATTGGGTCTGTTGTACTTGGTCAGATGAAATAAAGTCAATGTAAACTTTAAAAGTAATAAGTAAATCATTGGTGCCAACACAAAAGCACAAATGACTCCACAGATCATGATCAGAATCCTGCGTGTTACCCCTTTAAAATTACATGTAACACTACATTCAATAGTACTGACTACAGAAGCCGAGAAAGGCCATATTCATAAATATATTTTTATCCTTTTATAACAGAGCTCCATTATCTCGAGATAATGGAATAATTACCACGTTATCTTGAGATAATGGAGCTTTGTTATGCCAAGATCACAGAATAATTTTCTCAAGATAACAAGGTAATTATCCTGTTATCTCAAGAAAACTACATTATGTTATTTTGAGTTAGCACGATTAAAAAATATTTGCAAATATGGCCTTTCTCAGCTTCTGTAATTGACCAGTATAAATTATTTCATATCCAGCTGTAACTTGTATGTAACTTCCCTTTCATAAACTTCTACAGTGTGTCAGTCTGAACTTTTATCAGATCAGCATCTTTCGTTAACTGTGAAAGCATCCTGGTTAACTGGTTAACTGGTATGGTAAAGGCAGCAGCACTGGTGAGTACAGAGTGAAAGGCAAGTGAGTGGTGGGACTGGAGTACAGACGTGACACTTTAAGGGCTAAGTCTCGGTTTAAGGTTTCTTAACTCAAATGAAGAATCCTTTATGTTACTATTAAGGTCAAGGTCAGTCTGATCAGTATTTGTGAAACAGTATCTCAAGGATAAAAAGTAGGTTTATCTGGAGCAGCTACATAAGATGATAGTTTTTACATATAAAACAATATATTTAGTTTTTATGAGCTACAGTCAAGACATGGTTAGCCTAGCTTAGCACAAAGACTGAAAGCAGGGCAAAACAGTTAGCCTGGCTCTGTCCAAAGTTCAAAAGTATGCTTTTTGCCAAGAAATATTTCCCCTATAATTACAAATATTCATTAGCTTATTTGTAAATTTCTGTTTGTGTGCAGATTAAAAGAGTTGAGAAGCAAGCTTCAGAGATGTTGCTGTTTATCACTCTGAACCAGGTCTGGGTATCGAATCGACATCACCCTCTGCGACATCACCCACAGGTTTTCTGAGGAGTGGTTTTCTTAGCTCACACTGAGCTGTCTACTGTCACCATCTTGGCAGCACCTGACTAAACCCCTAACTCTGAGCTATTCCAAAAATGGTCAAAGAGGAGGGGAGTGTGTGGAGCTGAGACTTCGGTAAATACTGGTTTGTAGCAAGCATAAGCTCACCAACCTGTCACTCAAAGAGGCCACGCCTTCAATTCTCCAAAGCTTAAATAAAATGTGAACAGGTGAGTTATATAAACAGGTGTCATGAAGGAGGAAATTAGCTCTAGAGACCAAAACTGTTTTTGTACCAGGCTGTAAACATGTTTATTTCTGCTGTAAAGTTGGACATTTTAACATGGGAGTCCCTGGGGACTGACTCACTGTTGGAGCCAGACTCTAGTGGCCATTAGAGGAACTGCAGGTTTTAATACTTCAGTGTTCATGCTTCATTTTTCAGCCTTGGAGGTTGATGTTTGCTCCCCCTGTGTTCAGTTTTTATGTTAAGCTAGGCTAACTATAACTGCTTCCAAGTCTGTATTTAACACTTTCAGAGATATGTTTAGATCTTCTTATCTCTGTCTTGCAAAGAATTTAATAAAAACTGTTGAATTATTCCATTAAATTAGCTCCAATTCAGGTGGACATTTTATGTCCACAAATACTGATGTGATCGACTTTGACCAGGACAAAAAGAGTACCACAATTAAATGCAGTTTCCGTTGAAGATATATATATATAAAAAAAAAAGAAAATACAGTGACTTGAACTTTTGTAACACATTATACACAACACAAAGACATGGATAAAACAATCATGGGATACTTAGTAACAAAAAAGTAGGTAAAGTGGTTAGCCTGTTAGCCATACAGTGCACATTGACAATATAATACAGCAATGGACATCATTATTAAGAACCAGTGCTCAAGACAATATGTACAAATAAAAAAAAAATTCTCATTCAGCAAAGAAAAACAGAATGTACGTTCCTTCAGACCAAAAAGTTCAAATCACAAATTTGCTGTGGAAGGAGATAAAAATCTAGTTGCAAAACCCATAATGGCAGAAGAGATGAAGTCATGCGGGATCAGCATCATCAAGGGAGCTCTAACAAGATAAAGACAGAATTTAAATTAGTTTCTGTCTCAACCAGACACCCCTTGTATGTAACTAATACTCCTACAATGAACATACTGGTGTAGAAAAGGTTCCCCTGATAATATTATGTACTTTATTCTCATGCAAATTAAAATGGAATTTGACAGAATTAGTTTCAGATATATTTTTCTCCCTCTGCAGTTTCCTTTTCACCCTTGTCTTGCCCAAACAGTCAGATGTGGAATCTTCAGAGGACGGCTTTGAATTCAAATAAGGCTAAACCATAAAAGATGAATTACTTGCCCTTACGTGGCTGAAGAGTAGTCAGTGATTTTCAGTCTGTGTGAATAGGCTACATTGCTCAGTGCCCACAGGATTGGTGCTTCTCCTCAGTACAGTCCTCACTTGATTTTGGTCCCTTACAAATGAAGCGTCATATTGTCGTCAACACTTAAGGGACATTGAGGGTCAGATACTTTGACCCCACTCCCCCTCACAGGTGAGAGCTTGAGTGCCTCTGGTCTTTACCTGTACACCTCCGAGGCTTCAATGTCAGTAGTTTTTCCAGGCAGAGAATAAATCATTACCTTTTCCTTCATCGTTTCCCTGCAGGGCGGGAGAGCCCATAGTATCATACTGCAGAGCAGGTGTTCTCTAGGCCCTATAGACAGATACACCCACTGGGTGTGAGGCTGTGAGGCTGTGAGGCAGGGCTGCAGTGCTCAGATCAGCCTCTCCTCTGGGGGAACTTTTAGGACACTGCCCATCTCCAGCCTGGCACCAGCGACCTCCTGTGAGCTGGGACTGTACGTGCCCTCCGACTGACGCTTCTTCCGCGCTGTCATGATGAGGAAGAACACCACCAGGATGGCCAGTAACACACAGAGCGTGGTCAGAGGGATGGTCACCGCAAGCCAGGGAACCCGCTCCTTATGCTCCTCTTTCTGCAAGAGCACAGTGTTGTTTAAAACAACCAGTCCAGTCTGAAGTTGTTCATTTGTGGATTTTAGTCCAGATGTTTTGCATCTCTTTTCTAAAAGGTCATGTCAGAGGAGTTTTGAGTTTTGCTTGATTACACGGGTAAAACATTCACAGATGAATGTATATATATTCACTTTATACTTTTCATTCATACAAAATGTATTTAAGAAGAAGTGAAGAAGTAATATAACGTAAAGGACTAGTGTGCAGGATTTAGGGGGATCTATTGGCAGAAATGGAATACAATATTAATAATGATGTCTTCATTACTGTATAATCACCTGAAAGAAGAATCCTTATGTTTTGGTTAGATTAGAATTAACTTGTCATATCTACAGAGAGAGCGGATGCCCTTCCTACTAACCCTGGCTCCAGAGTGGGCTTCTCTGTTACGTTACCTGAAGACCACCCCAGATTCTCCTACAGCAGAGATCACTAACAGGCAGACCGCTGTCCAGACCCAGACCCAGACCAGACCAAACTATTATTAATATATATAAATATAGAATATTAAATCTTTACTGTGTCTTTCTATTTTAACCACTGCAGCTCTTCTAGCCTTTAAGGCACTGCACACATGACTCAGCAAATCATGGCGTCTCGACTCAGTCAGTGAGATATACACAGACACAGAGAAGACGACATCGGAGAAAGAAGTGGATAAAGTGGGATAGAAGAGGGAAAGGTAGAGAAAAGGTATTAAAGCTGTTCAGTTGTTAAGATGGGTTGAGATTATTTGTTATATAAATGGTTGAGACTGACGGAATTAACCATGAAGAAGAAACATGGAAAGTCAAACTACACTTTTATTCATTTAGTAAAATTAAGCACTTTATTATATTTTTTCAAAAACCCTTATTTATGTAGTTAATATATTATAAATTATTACATTTATTTTTCTTGAAATGATAAAGGACCATATATATACACACACACACTGTATATATATATATATATATTATATATATTATATATATATATTTATTTATATAATGTATGTATTATTATTATCCTTGGACCTTTTTAAATCCTCATTGAATACCCCCTGTCCTATATGCTTGGAAGGGGAGGGGTGTTCAGTTGGTTGCTATCTGTAACCTCACCACTAGATATCACTAAATCCCAGACACTGGTCTTTTAATGTAATAAAACGTAAACACTACTCAGCTCAACATTCTGCAAACATTTTAGTTTCATTTTCTTTATTACATCTTTTCACAAATACTAAATATAAGTGATATTTTTGCTTTATTTGTTTACCATAGATACTGTAGGCTCCTGTGTTGTATCTTTGTCTCAGTAAATGTTGTTGCCCTCTCTACATTTTTACATCATGCATAATGTACACAATACTTCTGAATGATAAACTCTATTTTCCCTCCTTCTCTAATATACTTGTATGTGTAAAACACTTATAAACAGCACTGGAACTGTCAGATTAACATATATTAATTCTGTATAGCCATCCCTTGTGGTATTATTTCTAGATCATGGGTCTGTGGCAGCTTCAGAGAATCTGAATCTAAACTATGAATTTTAAACCAGTTACTGATGCATGTGCTATGACAGTGAATCAACTCAGAGCCACTGTCTGTCACTTACGTTGCTCTCACACAATGCGCCGCTGAAGCCCGGCACACACACACACAGGAAGTGGTTGAGTCTGTCCAGACAGGTGGCACCGTTGAGACAAGGGCTGGACTCACACTCGTCTATTTCTGTCTCGCACCTGAAACACATCAGCAGGGTTTAAACACAACGCTGACTGACAGAGCTGCGGCTCACACACACATGCTCTTCTGACCTTTACACCTGGTTCAGACACACTTTCTCCTCAGCCACAGGTGTATGCGCTGAGGAGTGTGTGCTGTGTGCTGCTCTCACCTGGCACCGGTGTATCCAGGCTTGCAGGTGCAGTTTCCTCCAGAGTTGCCTCCTATACAAATCCCTCCATTAAGACACTCTGTCTTTGCATCACATGCCACTGGAGGGAAACGCCACCTATTGGACACATGAACACACACTCTCTATTACAATCAACACTCAGTTTCCAGCTTATTCGGAACAAGTAACCCAAACTAATGTAGTCTGATACAACAGCCCTACAATAAATCCTCTTTCACGAAGGTGATAGTTGGTGATGTTCAGTTAATGTTGAACCTTCTTTCAGAGACGTGTTGAGATCACTCTGGAGGATTTAGTCTCTGATGCTGTTGAATTATATTCATGAATTGAAATACTTTTTCCTTGATTTCACTGCAGCCAGACGTTTCCCTCCATCTCTGCTACTTGTATTATTTTGTGGTGCAGCTCAAGTGTATGAACAAGAATGCAAACAATCTATATTTTCTCAAAGAAAAAGATCAAATCCCAACCCCTCCTCCCAAATTGGCTCAACTTCAGTCACATTTAAAGCTCCGTATTTCCCTTTTCTTCTCTGTGTTAAAATTGAAGTGTTGATCCATAAGAAGAAATATTAAAACAATCTCAATGTAGTTTTACTTCTCTCTGGAGCATTTAAACTGCAGGACCAATGAAGCAGGGACATCTTTCCTGGTTCCTCAATGAAATGAATGGGGGACAAAATTAGGTTTTGCCACACTTTAACAACACGCTTGGGTGCTAAATGTTTTTCTTAAACCCTTCATTAGACACTATAGATCTGTTTACACTAATTTCCCTCATAAATTGACTTTGACATGTAAATCAGTGAATTGTCCCTTTAATATCCACCACTATACATCTACTCTATACATTTCATTATTAAAAAACAACTAAAATTTGACAGTATTCATGTGACTGTAGAATAATCTGAAAAAATAGTTCATCCAAAGAAAAAGAAGTAACTTTCATTTAATGATTCACATCAGGAAGTACTAGAGGATCTGAGTTTTCAGCCTTTTTCCAACACAATAAAGTGTTAGGGTTGCAGAGAAGTGGACAGATGTGTACTCACTGGCAGCGCTTGCCGACATATCCAGGAGGACATAAGCACGTGTGAGTTCCCACCATCTCCACGCAGCTTCCTCCGTTCACACAGCTGAACTCGAGACAGTTGTCCAGCTCCTCCTGACAGTCCTTCCCTGTGTATCCAGGCTCACAGTCACATTGGTAGTCTGCCAATAGGTCTTTACAGGTCCCATAGACACAGGGACCTGAGGAGCACTCGTTTATCTCCGTCTCACACAGCTCCCCCTCCCATCCGGAGCTGCAGCTGCAGTTGAACTCATAAAACTGGTCCAGACATTCACCCTGGTTGAGGCAGGGCTGGGAGTCACAGATCGGTGCACCTTGACATCCTATGATTGGCTCATGTCCACCCAGTCTGGAGAACCAGCTCACCTGAGGGGCCTCTGGTACTCTAATGAGCGGCAGGTAGACTCCACCCACTCTGACCTCCCCTAAACACCCAGTGTATTTCTCAGCCAGCCAGATTTTAGTATCATTCAGGAAGTTGAGGTTGCCACCAACGCCAAAGCTGCCACCCACTCTCTGGCCATCCACAGTGAGGCGCCAGCGGGACACTGACTGTGCGGGGTCAACCATAGTCAGCTGGACGTGGTGCCACACCCCGTCTGCAACTGTCCTGTCACTTGTGAAGGCCAGCAGCTCTGAGCTCACCCCGCTGTCCAGTTTGACCAGCAGGGAGGAGTTGAGAAGACCCAGGCAGAAGACCTCAGCTCTGCCGGCGGCCCGCAGCAGGATCCCGTTCTCGTCCCGTGTCCGTATGTCCATGGTGATTCTGGTCACCGGGCTCAGCAGGGAGCTGTTGGCAAAATACTGCAGAGAGTTGTCCTGGAAAATGGCTTCTGTTAGACCTGTGGGAGGAGGAGATGGTGTGAATGAACCAACCACTGAGTGTTCAAGTCTTCTCCAGTATTACATGATCAATGCATTGATTGGAAAGACACAAGCTGAGCTGCTGTCACAGGAGGCAAAACTTTGTCTTTCTCTGAACTCTTGCTTTGATGTTGTACAGTGGAGCTCGCTCTCTCTTTCTCTGTTGTCCTTTTATTTGGGTTTGCTTTGCAGACCTCTGCAGGTGTTCTCCAAATATATAACATTTATATTTTATACATGAAAGTCAGTTCACTTGTCGTGGTCTTCTGTGGATCAGGGGGAGATTTGTCTGATGATGTGTTCTCAGTTTGGGCTAAAGGAAAGTCACCAAGGGCGGACTGAAACAATACTTCAGGCCAGTAACATCACAAACCATCAGACTGCTAATTCTGTATGCTAACCGTTTGCTGATGTAACAGGTACCAGACTAGTTTTAAATTTGGCCACTATGTCCATCTGTACGGTGGGCATGAGAGCTCAACACACTGCAACTGAAGAAAACACATGCAACTTGAGAAAACATCTTCATCAGTTTGACAACGCATGAGCTGCGAATACTCACAACACAACACAAGTGTTTCCAGGGGACACTAAAACATACTGAACCTGGCTGAGACACACTTGTTCAATGCTTTTAACTTGAAAAAGTTACAACTGGGCATTGAACAGCGAGTGTTTCCCAGCAGGTTCATCACTTCTTTTTTTTAAGGTATTTTTTGCCCTAGAGAGAGAGAGAGAGAGAGAGAGAGAGAGAGAGGGCAAATGAAATGCAGCAAAAGGAGTTGCACTCGACCCCACTTGTGTCCCCTGGAAACACTTGTGTTGTGTTGTGAGTATTTGCAGCTCATGTGCTGTCAAACTGATGGAGATGTTTTCTGAAGTTTTAGTGTGTTGACCTTCAGGACAACCATACATCTAGGAAGAAAGTTATCCAGATTATAAAATACAATTTGTGACTGACCAATAAATGTGAAGAAATGTTAAATAATAATAGCTTATAATCGCAGTAACAGTGTGGACACACACAGTTCAGTGACGCAGCATCACACACAGGTGAGGTGATAGAAAAGGTTCATAAACTCTTTCCTGCTGTTATTATCTGGTTAAACTGGTTCACGGGGCAGGGAAATGGCCCGGTGCTCCCACCACCCTTACTCGTGGAGCTTGAAAGACATGGGCGTTCACCATGCACAGATCTAATGAAATACTGAGCTATCAAGTTGCATTATGCGACTTCTCAGATTATTTTAATCTGTTTCCCCCAATGTTTTGAGAGTGCAACATTAAATTCTCAAAGTATAGTTTGTAGTGTAATAGGCCGTTTCCGCAATACCACCATCTTGGATTTTGACCAGCCAGTTACACAAGTTTCAGGATGCATTGTGGGTAACATCCCATCAAAAGCTAGCTGTCAAGCAGAAACATTCCAAAACTCAAAAATCAAACTCAGACTTCATGACATTTTCTACAGAAAAGTATATAATTGTAGGCATGGTGCCAAAATATCCCACAATGCATTCCACAATCAATGTCATCAGCTGTGTCCTGGTTCAGGGGCCGTATACTGCAGAGGCTGCATTTGAAGACCAATTTCATCACAATGGTGCGACAAGGCGGTCTCATTTTGAAGGCTCGCTCAAATGTGTCCTTCTTTTACTGTTAGTCCAACCTATCCCACGATTCTTTGCACGCTGGTCATGAAAGCAAACAACACTGACAGAGAGCCCGAGGATTACACTGTTAAATGTAAGCATTGGGTTTCAACGGTACAACTGTTAAAATTGCTAAAACCAAGGACCATACGTTTTTGTGAATAAAAGTCAAGGTTGCTGGGCAACAGGAGCCGTTCTTTGCAATGAAATGGTAAGGGTGGAAACAGCTGGAGACACACAGTGAAAATCCTCTGTAGACCAGACCGTCTCATTTTGGTTCAGCTTTCACAGTCTACGGCTACAAGGGGCCACACCGTCACAGACCAAGTCCTCTGAAGGATGCGGTCTATGAACTGGGACACAGCGGTCAGCAGTCTATAGCAACATTTAAAAATAATGTTTAGCCTATAGAGGACCTTGCCTAGTTTCTTAAGGAGTCCAAAATTTACAACTAGCACAGTCAGGAGCTCAAATCCCACTGTAGCCACATGAAATTAAAAAGTGATGTTCATCTTGATGTTTATATATTTTAGTATGTTGTAGGATCTTTCTTCTCAGCTCCTCCTTCGTGCATCTTTTCTTACCTCTCTTGTATTAAGAAGTTTTTCCTTTGATGTCAGAGGGTCTGAGGTTAAATGATCATTCAGAAACTGTAAGTCTTATAAAACACTGAGAGATAAACAAATAAACCTGACTCTACCTGACTGTGCAATCATTTGCTCTGCCTTCATAAAGAGAGATAATCACTACAGAGGGATTACTCACATTCATAACCGTCCTGCAGGTCCACACAGCGCACGCCATCAAAACATGGGTTGTCGACGCACCACAGGCGTGTCTCACACAGTCGGCCTGAGTAGTTAATGGAGCAGTCACACTTGAAGTCATTCCAGGTGACCTGACACTGTCCACCATTGAAACAGGGCTCATCCTGCGCACAGATAAACACAGATGGATGGATTACATGATGACTTGTAAAATCTGTTACCTGATGCGACCGCGAGTTTTAAAGCTGCAGAGAGGACTGAGCGCTAACTCGCAGATCAAAGGGATTCAAAACCTGAACAATGTTAATAGGGATGAGGCATTACAGTGCAGCCCAGCTATCAGACAGCACTGCGAAGTGCTAACACAATTAGCATGAGTTCAGTGTTAGAGGCACGCACTGGCTAAACATGGAGCTTTTCATTCAAACTGAATATTAGACAGTTTTGTCAATATCTGACATGTAATGTGATGCAGCCTGCTTCAGTATGTAATGTAGCCATGCCATAGTGATGTTAGTGTGTCAGTGTGTCAGTCTACCTGTGGACTGTAATGAAATTTTGTTTAGACCCCAGGCTGTTATGGTAAATTTACATCTAGCACTACCAACAGTTCAAACCTTGCACACCCAGTATAGTTTCATATTAAGTTTCTGATAAAGCTGTTATTTCAAAAAAACAACCAGAATAAAACAATATCTTTAATCAAATAATTATTCTCTCCTAATTCTAATTTCATCCCCATTTTCTATCACGTTTGTTCAGTCAGCTGGTTCACTCACTGGGTAGGAGTTCATAACCGGGACAGGAGGCCTGAAGCCCACACTGCTGCATGTGCTCATTTAGGAAGTGGCAATAAATAATAATAATAAACCAATCCCATTTTGATTTATAGTGGGTGGGTTTAAAGGTCCTTCCTGAAGGCTGAAGGCCAGAGCTATTTTATGGGTTTTACCTTTTTCTGTTCAGGGATTTAAACTAGCACAGTGGTTCTCCACCTGTTGGCCACAAAGATTTTGCAAGTGGGCTACAAAACATTTGCAAAACAGAACATTTTTGGTGAAAAGATTGAATTAAAAAATAGTTTTTTTCATGTTGTCGCTCCCGGACCACATCCTATACTTGTGTGCTGTCTCAGTCTGATTTCATCCATGACAAAAACTGGAGAATCAAAATGGAGAGCTGTTTAGTAACAGGAAGAATTATAGGAAAGAGTCAAAGACAGATGGTGAATCGACAAGTGAATCTCTCCTCCGTCAAACAAAAAAGAAAAACCGAGCTTCCTCTGTTTTTAGTTCAGTCCTGAATGTTCAATGGTTATTATAAAAGTAAAAAGTGCTGTGAGAAGACTTTATTTGGCCTTTGTATTGTTACGGCGTCTGATGTGGGTCGCCAACATTTTTGAGATTTTCAAGTGGCTCCTGAGTTCAGATCGGATCGGGACTTCAATGGGTGAAGGCCTAAAAGCTCTACTCCTCACAGTTCACCACTGCTGAACAGTATTTTCTTCACTAGTGGTAAAAATGGAACTCGTTGACTTTATACTGTCCAAGCTTGACACGTAATGCTGAGCAGCAGCTGCAGTAGGACTAAAGATCCCTGATCCAAATGCTGTTTGGAAATAACATATGACCCTGAAATTATTTAGATTTTTGTTGTGCTCTACAAAAAGTCAGAATTAGATATTCTTCAATGTAAATTTTCATCATCATATATTTTACCTTGTTTTTTTTTTTGTCGGTCCCACTTAACAATAAGATGACCCTTATAACTGATTTATAAATGTTTTATAACTAGTTTCTTAATTCTTACTAATGACTTACTACCATTTATAACTGGTAAAATGAGCCTTATAGTAACTCATTAATATAATGTTTACTACTCATTAATCTGACTATTGACTTACTACTATTTATAACTGGTACAATGAGCCTTATAGTAATACATCATGATGTGTTTTACACTTAAGACTCCTTTTATAAATGTTTGTAACTGATAAATAAATGGCTGTAAAAATGAGATGAAGAAACATGAAGATGATGGAGAGATCTGAACAGTGGAACAAAGAATGGGTCAGCAGTTCAAGTAAAGGAAGGTTCCCACCTGTGTTCTACCTGAATGTTAAAGTCCTGAAGAGGAGACCAACCAGCAGAAAGCATCTCCATGTCAATATCTGATCAACAGCTGTGATTATAATGTGGATGGCTGCTGAGAGCATGTCAAGGTAAACAACACTGCTGAGGCCTTACAGGATGAATGTGGTCATGTGATATGATCATGTGATCTGCCACAATCTGATCTGCCTGATGAAACTTTCTGACCATTAAGATGCTGATGCTGGTTCATTGATAGTAACTGAACAAACATGTGATGAAGCAGCAGGTACAGATGCTGATGATGGAGAAAACAAAGAAAGCTCAGTAACTAATGAGACATGAGGCTGAACAGTACAGAGACATGTGGGCTCACTGTTTGATTGATTTTAACAGGTCACTGTCTCCCTTTTTATCTAATGTGTTATAACAGCTTATAAATGATGTATAAAATGTTAACAAGCTATTAGATAAACTAGCTATAAACCATTCATAAATCCTTTATGAGGGGAGTTTGACTGTAAAATGGTACCTTGTTGTCTGCTCTGTATGAAAGTGAATATATTTCTCTTTTACCTTGCAGGTGTCATCACTGTGACATCCTGGCAGCACGTTCTCCTCTGTGCTTGCCTGGTAAACCTCCACTGTCTCTGGATAATCCTCCATGGTCAAATGCTTGTGGTCCAGCCGGACGTCCTGCAGGCAGCCCTTGAAGTTTCCACCCCAGGCGTTCATGCTGTTTCCCACAGGGAGCGCTCCAACATACGCCACATCCCCTGCCTCGACACTCACGTTCCCTAAGGCACGGTGGTTCCCTGCTTTGGGGAAGACCACATGGCCATTGTGCACCTTAACAGTCACCAGATTATTGTTGCCATCAGTGACGAATGTGGCCTCCGACAGCAGTGTGGTGTGAGGGCTGTAGATTGCCACGGTGCCTTCCTTCAGGTAGATGGTCAGATAGGGGTCCCCGTCTCGACTGAGCTGCAGAAGCAGACCGTTGTGTTTGAGGGAGCGCATCAAAAAGGAAATGCTGAAGTTGTTTCCATGGCTTTCCAAGATGTTGTAGGCAGAGTAGCTGCTGGTGTTCTCATGGCCGAAGGTCCAGGATGGGTACTCTAAGGTGGGAGGGGGAAGCACAGAGGTGTCAGTATCTTATCCCAACATGCTGGTACATGCTACACTTCATCAGGAAATACTTTCTTTTATTTTCCAGTTTTAATGAAATATCAGGTCACAGTCACCAGAAGTTATGCTCTTCCTGGGTTTAAAAAGTCTTGTGTGGCTCTGAAAGAGTGTTTTCAACACACATCACATGTGTGTCTAAAAGACATAATGAAGGGTCTCACAAAAAGATCAACTGAGTTGCATTGTGGGACATGTGATCCAGTGTTTCTGGAGTTAGACCCATAGTAATCATAACAGTTTGCCTTGACTCCACAGAGTTTTTCAGCCTCATTCAGATCAATGTTTCCAGCAGCAGCAGGAGTTGTTTTCAACTGTACCCAACCTGCCCGGCACCAAACAGCAGACAGTGTGGAGGAAGCTTCAAACTTCCAGTGACTTCACATTAGAAGAAGTTGAACTACAGCAAAGCAACGCCAGGCAGAAAACTAGTTCAGCTAACTGAGGCTACTTTGAAAAAGTTGTTCAAAATAGTTTGTAAAAAAAAATTATACAATTGACTGTGTACATGTGAAACATATAAAATTATAACAAAATACAAAACAATAAGGTCACATGGCAGCAAAACTGCCACTCAGTTTACTTTTCTATACTCCACCAGTCAAGTGCTGGAACATCATCTTTGGTTTTGTGAACAAAAACTGGTTCAGTGGGACTGTGGGGATTCTTCCTCAGCCGAGATTCTGGAAGTTTATCGTTGTGTGAGCACTGAGCAACACCTGCCTTTGGCTTCTGCACATGCACAAACACACAGGTCAGGTGTGTGGTGGTGACTGCCTGACCAATGCATTGCCTGGGCTGGTCAAAGGGGGTTTGATGACCCAAAACATTTTGTAGTTTCAGTTGGTAACTACACAACAATACTTGAATCATTATTCACATGTGAATGTAGTGCAGAAACCAGCAAGTTACTGCAAAATGTAGTTGAACTACTGGTTTAATTACATGTAGTTCTCTACCCCCCAACACTGATGGCAGACAGAGACAACGTTAGCAACTAGCTGGTAAATGTTTTCTCAGGAGCTGTTGGAGCCCGACTAGAGACAAGAGGAGAGTGAATGTTGAACTCTGCCGAATGTGTCTGTTGAGACATTAACCTCAACGACTTTATGAGATAATAATATGACAGTGTTGCGTTTACAGCTTGTTCCACTGCCAAGAAAATCAGTGTATGCAGCTTTAATATTGAGTCAGATATTCATGATTGTCATTTATCAGAGTTAGTGACTGTTTTCTCATTCTCAAGATACATTAACAGATATTTTTCTTTAGTTTTTTTTATTTTTGCGCCAAACTCTTTAATTTTGCACAATGGGATAAAGAAACTCAGTCTTTGATTCATCCAGCTTTGTCTAGACCAGAGGTCTCCAACACGTGGCTCGTGAGTTACCAGCAGCTCACCCAAAGGTTCAGAGAATTTCGTCTGTACAAACTAGATCTAGCCAAGTGAAATATCCAAATCACAGGAGCTGCTGTTTTTCTGATAAAGGCAAATGTGTTACATTGTTGTGCATTGTTAGCACCATAAGTGTTGTGGTGCTACAGAGACAAATCATATTCTCCAGACGTAAAGGAACATGTTTGTTTGGTACAAGACCAACAAAACCAAAAAAAGTGAAAAAATGATCATTCAAACTGAAACTGTGGCTCATATTGCAATATGATTTTTTTTGCATATTGTGCAGCCCAAGTTCAAGCAACACAACGTCACTCAGTAAATCTGCTCCAAATGCAACTTAATCAAATACACAGACCCCTGCCCCCCTTCACCACCACACCACCCAATCATTATCCGTCAGTTTGTTTACATCAGATCAGCTGTAGGCCACATGCAGTGATAGAAACTCTTCTGATAACAGAACAGATATAACACTTTTTCTTTGTTTTTTTTTCAGCCCATGTTTGTTTACATTTTGTAAAATGAAGTGTACTAAATTAATTCATTGTAACTTCCTGTTTGTTATGTATCATTGATGAACTGACAAATATCACTGATCACTGACTGAGGAGCTTCTCCTTCTCTGGTCTGTAATGAGACTTATGGAGGTTTATTTGCAGTGGTGTTTTAATGTCTGTGTGTTTAGGTCTGACTGAATCATGACTCACGTTTTTGTCTGATGTGAGTCTGTGCGTGAGGGATATAAGACATTAGTTTTTAGTTGTCTCTAGTATTGGTCATGAGGGCAAGATCCCACCTGACTACCACTGACTTAAAGGTTGGGTGTATGCCAGTGAACCTGTGTGGTATCCTGTCATACTCTACCTCTCTCACAGCTCTCTCCATAGAAGGGCCGCTGACACTGACAGCTGGCACGAACCCACATGTCCACACACTGCCCTCGCTGAAGACAGGGGTCCTCCTGACACCAGTCTGTTTTGGTGCATCCCAGTTCCAGGCCGTGGTTCTCCTCTCTGATGAGGTCTTGGGGCAGAAGCAGCTTATGGTCAACATAAAGGTCTTCCATACAGCCGACAAAGCCCCTCCCACTGGTTGTATGGGCTAAATACTCTTGCGGAGCCCCTCCCACATACAGCTGCTGAAAGGAGCTGGGCTGGAGGAAGATCAGATGGTTGTGGCCCTCGTTCTTCACTCGACACCCTTCCTCACAGCCGGGTCCTTTTATAGACAGAACCAGCCTCTCGTCCATGGTCACAGAGACCTGGTGCCATTCTCCGTCATTGACTGGTCCGGGGTAAACAACATGCAGAACCTTCCCCGCCTTCACCCAGGCCTGGAGGGAGCCACTGACGAGCTCCAGGGAGACGAACTGCTCCACAGTTCCCCGGTAGTACAGCACCATGTCAGGCAGAGTGCTCTTGAAGCGGAGCTGCATGTGGAGCCCGTGGTCATCAGCCTCTCTCCTCGTCCTGTTTTTGGAAACAGGCAGCTGCATGTGGATGTAGCCCTCTGAGTTAAAGGAGAAGGTTGTGGAGGTGTTGCAGCGTTCTCCGCTCCAGCCAGGCGGACACAGGCAGGCGTAGCTCTGCTCCCCATCGTCCGTCAACATGGGGACACAACCTGCTTCGTGCTGGCACTGGTGCTGCTGGCAGCCAACCAGGCGGACGTCACAGTCTCGCCCACCCCACGGCTCCTGGTCGGGCTCTGGTGGCGGGCAGTGACACCTATAGGCGTTGGCGGCATCTTCACACGAGGCGCCGTTCTGGCAGGGATGGCTGTCGCACTCGTTAATGTCCACCTCACAGTGGACGCCTGCAAGAGGAGACACAGTTACTACTGCAATGACAGTGGTTCAGCTTCAAAATGGAAGTCATATTTTGTTAAATTATTTAATCACTTAAATCAATCAAAAGACAGGGGGCTGCAGTGGGAAAGTCAAACTACAGTAAATGTGTTAATTAGACTCAGAGCTCTTTGTGCATGTGTTGCTACCCATGAACAGGCAGATTTGTTTGAGCCAATTCATGAATATTTCCATCAGTGTCATCTGCAGATGAGGAAATGATGGGAGGAAACAGCTTTAATTTGAGCAAACAGAGGAGAATTGGATTTGTATTCTTCCTTAATACAATTAAACTTGTTTATGTCAAACTGATTGAATCAGCTGGACGTTAAAATATTGCTCTCTATGCCTCACTCGCACCCATTCTCACGAACACACACACACACACACACACACACACACACACACACACAAATACATGTTTAAAAGACAGGATTTGACTTTTGTCTGTTGTACATGTAACATTAAGAAAACACACCTCAGCGCAGTGTGTGTGTGTGTCTGGTGTCTGTGGTCAGAGCTGCCTCATCAAACTGCATTCAACATTAAGCCCTGGCAGCAGCAGTCAACTTGCATTAACATAGTCCTTTAAAATACTCTACACCCGAGGAACCCTAAAGCTGTTCATCCTCTCTCTGCCAAGACGTCGCCATTGGTTACACACGAGCGGCCAACTTTCTTTTGCTGTTGTGAAAAAGTGCTGTACCATACTGTACCTGTCAGCCCCCAGGGCCCACAGCAGCAGCACAGCAGCAGCAGCATCAACCTCCTTCCCTCCATGATCCACCGAGTCAACGGCCAACACACTCCTCACACTGCTGGGTGGTAGGAATGACACAGCCAGGTGCTCTCTCTCTCTTTCTTTCGCTCTCTCTCTCTCTTTCTCTTTGCCTCTCTCTCTCTCTTTAGCTTACAAAGCAGAAATGCTGTCACTCCTCCACTTTTCACCGGGCACACAGGCAGGACTGATTAAAATGCTGCCCTGCCCAGTTTTTCTTTACCTCCCTCTCTTTCTCTCTCCCTCCATCCCTCCCTGAATCCCTCCCTCCCTCACACCCCCTTCTCCTCTCCTGTCTGCAGCCCAGCCCGGGCAGAGTGGTAAGCTCTCAGCCTCCAGCTGGCTCCTGTCAGTGTTTGACAGGAGGAATGTAGTGCTGCAGTCCCCTCTGCTCCGTCTGCCCACTAGCGGCAGGAGAGAACCCAGGAGAGGTGCTGCAGGTTCAGGGCTTCATGTGGACCAGGGCCTGATACACCTGGAGCCACTATTAATCCTTTATTAATGTTTTCATATCTGTTAGTCGACGCTGTGTTTGATTATTTCACATTTGATTTATTCCCTCTAGCAAAATGTGAATCTGAACTTATTGCAAGACAATTTCATTATATTCAGCTCTGGTATGTTTCACTTTGCTCTGGTGTTAATGGTGACAAAGAAATTTGAGTTCTGAGATTAAAGTTAAAATCTGTAACTTCCTACACAAACATACCATACCAACAAATCATACACAAATATAATATATGACATATGTGATATATGTGTATCACATATAGACATTCTCTGGATATACTGTATGAAGATATGCATTTATAACATACGTATATGAAATGCCCACAGTAAAAATGTGTGTATGTATTTGTGTACAAATTCTTATATGGTATAACATGTTGCGACCATATATGTTTATGATATATATTTAATTCATATATGCAAGTTTATTAAAACAACATACATATAAAATTACATATGTTTAGGTACTTATCTCATTAATTTTAAACTCTACTGTTTATATCAACATATACTGACAGGCTTTGGGATGGATATATATTTATGTAACATCTGTCTACAATATAAACATACATACATAAACATACACATTTGTATATGTCAGTATATGAAATTGTTCCAGCTTATAATTCATAAGTTTCATATACAATTTTTACATATCTGTTTTTATTTTATATGTACATATACAGTATGTAATATATAGAAATTCAATATATGTACATTTGCATATGGGTTTTTCGCATTAGAATGTCTGAAAACAACTAGACCTATGTTCTATATGTTGTTGAGTTGTGTTCGTACATTATCACAAATGTTTCCATCAATTCTCAAACCATGGGGCTGGGGTCAGGCAGGACTAACGGCCTTTTTTATGGCTCTAGCTTTGTCTCACAATGCTTCCCAACCTGTTTCTGTTTTTCAGGGTAAGGGACCCGAACCAGCAGATAAATGAAAGGGCTCAAACATATCCTCTATGATCATGTGTCAGTGTTGTGTTTGTCTGACAGAAGCTCAACATTGACTTCTTTTAAGTCACATTTTTAAGATACACTTTTTTTGTGATTCATCATAAATTAACATGGAAACAACACATTGAGTATATTAAAAAAAGGCTATACATGTCAATAGAAATTCTGTATGAATCTAGCGATACATCAAATTATAAGGCCTTGTATTTAATCTACTGCTCACTTATATTTTCCTTTATAACTTATTGTGTGGAAGTCGACCTTTAAAACAAGTATAAATTCAATAATTTTACTACAAAAATGAGCCATACATATTATTAATAAAGCTGGTTACTATGATCACATAAATCATGCATGCATCATCATCATAAACTTATGCTATGAAATTTAATGATTTAGTTTATTATAAAATATTATAAATAATGTTCAGAGCTAAATCAAAGTCACTCCAGACTGAGTCCATAAGGTTTTTTCAATAGAGGAGAGCAAATCTGATCTGGGAAAAGTTTGTAAGTTTATTGAACAAAAAGATTGAAAGGGATTAAAAGGAGACATGTTTCTATTGTTGGGGTTAAATCATTGAACAACAATAATACAAATTTAAAAATGTCTAATTCGCTCCTAGTTTTCAAAAGAATGATCTATAAAGTTATTTTTGAGGGTTACAAATGAGAATGATTTCCTTGTCTCAAATAATGAAACAATTCTAATATAAATTATAAAAAATATGGAATTTCCTTTTGGTTCTCAAAAGAGTGATTTCTGAGGGTTACAAGCCTGAACAATTTTTTGAGGTTTTTACCAGCAGCTGAATCATCCACAGAGGTGTCCTCCTCTCCATAACAAACACACCAGGGGATTAAAACCAGTAGAAACACCCATGAAGCAGTTTGACTTTAAAACTCAGAGATTCACCGACACGCTTCAGTGACACAGGACAGGACGTCTCCAGCAGCTGGGAGCTGAGCTGTCTAACATTTCCTCAGCTTGTTTCTCTGATAACTTCAGATCCAGACGTCCGACGACTAAAATCCTTCATCTGGTTCAAGTATAGAGCTGAAAACCACCAAGGTGTAAAAAGTGTATGTGGCTTAAAACTAGATAAAAGTCAATGTTGAGCTTCTGTCAGACAAACACACTGACACATGATCATAGAGGATATGATGTCACTGAGAGGAGACCAATTAAAATCACAGATTTCTCTGGTTTGAGAATTGATGGAAACATTTGTGATAATGTAAGAACACAACTCAACAACATATAGAACATAGGTCTAGTTGTTTTTAGACATTTTAATGCGAAAAAGTTACAGATTATAACTTCAATGTCATCGGATGTGCAATTGACCAACTTTAAAAACACAGGCTGCACCTGCTGCTCATCATGTGATTAGATTAATTTAAGGAAGCTACAATGTTGAATGTGATATTTCCTTATAGATTTGTAAATGATATAAGACTGGACAAATGTAATGACCGAGGGGCTCATCGCTGCTGGATCAGTGTGGACCACCTCCTACACGTGGAGGTGAACCTGTTGCTCATGTGCCATGCAAAGTTAATAGGGTCATATTTCTGAGTTTTCCTTTATCTTTGCTGGCTGTTAGTAATATGTGATGAGTTTATTGTGCATTGTACTAGTGGAATGAAATACATGTCATTTGGAAAAAATGCACAGTGTTTTGTATCACCTTTGTCTTCGTTTCATCAGGCTTTAATTAGTCTCCTAAGCAGCTTTGCTGTAATCTCCCCTCCCCTCAACAAATTTCCAAGGAGACCCCTGTTTAATGCCCGACATGGTTGCCTTGACATATGGCACCTTTTATTGGCTTTGTTGTTTTCCATAACATATGCCCCCTGATCCCCTCCTCTCCTACACTCTGCTGTGGCCTGAACGTCTCGTGGCTAAAAATAGGACGTGTTGACTAAAGCTTTGGTTGAATTCCTCGCTCCTCAGTCCACATCTTAATATTGCAAGGGTTGAGCTTTTGGTGAAGGTCCTGTTTTGAGTGATGAGGAGACAAATCTCCTCTAATGAGGAATTGATACTTTGCCTGATCAAGAGGAATGATCAGCAATACTACTGAGCTACTGAGGACAGTCATTTCAGTTCAGTTCAGTTCAGATCAGTTCAGTTTAGTTCAGTTCAGATCTTTATCATCACACAGAGGACAGATCTGTTTCCAGTGAGGCAAACATAACAGCAGTTCAAACACAATAAAAGTTAATGGTAAAGTCTAACAATTATTACTAATTCTGTAGGTTTTTTACTTTATATATGGATTTGACTTGTAACGTTAGGAAAAGCAGTTTCTAATATACTGGTATTTGAATTTATCATATTTTTTGTGCATGGGCTTTATTTTTATTATCAATTGTCCTACTTGTCATTTTCTTGTTGCTCAGTCTATAAAAAAAAAAAAAATTTGAAAAATGCTCATCACAAGTTAATGTTTTCATGTATCCTGTCTGACCAACAACACAGTTTATCCTCACACTAGCAAGAAACATTGCTGGTCAACATTAGTATATTTTACCAGTCACCTGTTGTCATGTTACCCAGTTACTTCCTGTTGTGCCAGACCAACAAATCAATAAAAAGAATCTGTAAAATAACTTTCTGTCAGGTTTAAGACCTTTCATCCGAGTCACCAGTAAACATATACTTTGTCATTATTTCAGTATTCAGTATTCAAGTCAAAGTAAGGAAGACTAACAATAGTCTAGTAAACTGATTTATGCGTTCCTGCTAGTTGCTAACTTTAAGTCATATTTTTCTTCTGACAGCCATGTCTTTAAAGTTCAGCCGTAGTAATGGGTGATTCAAACATACAGACTAATAGACCGCTAATCATTGTGAATGAGACCTGGTCAAACACCACCCATGGACCTACAGAGTTCTGCAGGCGTGAGTACTGAAACCTGGAAATTAGCTGCAATTTATCACTCCCTGTTCCTAGGTCCTGAAGTCTCTGGTTCTTTAAATGAGTTTTTGGTTAAATGGCTGAAATAAAGTCTGTGTTTAACACAAGCTCAAGACATTTTCACATTTTATTCTATAACAGAGAATCAGGCAGTAAAAACCTCAGTCCTGATTTCTTTAAGGTTTTACATCCCGGTTGCTAACAAGTGTCTAAATGAGACTACAGAGGTTGTCTGGGACGTTAAACGTTGTCACGTTGAACATGAAAACCGATCTACTCACCAGTCCACTTTTACAGCCTCGTTGTGGTGAAGAGGTCAGATCTAAATCAAACTACAAGTTGAAGTTTAGTGGTGGTGATGTTAAAGTCATGTGACCGTGGTGTAGTTGGTTTATAGCCTAACATTAGCTTTTTACTTCTGCTGACTATTTAAGCTTCAAACATCATAAAGTAGTGTTCATTAGTGAAGATGATCCTGTTGAACTAAACCTGTAAGGATCATAAACTGTTATATATTTTCTCTACTAATCCAAAAGACAATGGAAAAATCCCAATGATTTTTTTGGGAGGGTAACAGGGCGAAGCTAACATCTGGGCTAGCCTAGGAAAATGTCCCTGCAGCACTCTATAGAGATTAAAGACCCTCTGATAAAAATCAAGTGTTTAACCACGTTAACATCCATATGATGTTTTTATATAATACAAAACATATGATGAGTGAAATAATCATCAACACCATGACTGAATGTTTCCACCTTGAGCTGCAGTGAACCAATGACCAAAAACAGATTCAGACAGCCAGGGTTTCATACGTCACAAACCTAAGGAACCAATCCTGTCATCCTTGAACCCTGAACAGCACTTCAGGGGAAAGTTGAGAATGTTTCAACTTCATGCAAATCTCTTATGACACACAAACTACATCACACTGCCAAGCTCACTGACAACAGGCTCACGCAACAATTGTCATGTGTGAAGTTCTTGTCACTGTAGTAACATGTTAGACTGTCCATAGGAGAAAAAGAGCCCGTTGATCGTCTGCACAAGCAGTTGATTACAATCCATCGTTATCTTTTATTGTTAGATGACCTCGAGTGGTCACAATTATGACTGGAACAGAGGGTGAAGTGAGGTGATGTAGTGAGTGACAAGTTCTGTGTTAGATAGAGGTTGGGGTCGATGGATGAATCAACGAAACACAGAACTTTCTTGTTTGAAATCAATAGTCATCATTGTTTCTTTTAACAATGACCGGTTACCATCACCTTAACTTACTCGGTTCATTATTGTAACCATGATGATGAAGATTCTCTAACCTTGAGGGACTACTTTTTTAACCCAAACCATCATCTATCCCTAAACCTAACTAGATGTGACTGTTCCATAACCTTAACACATGTTTATTAACGTAACTATGGTGATGAAGATGTGGTATGTCCGGGAGACAGGTCATTTCAGAGGGTCAGGACAGATCACCTATGAGGTAATTCAGGTGGGAGGAGTTAGTGGAGGAGGAAGAGTGATGGGGACAGGACACCACCCTGTGGGCTACCGGTGAGGGAAGATGTTTTGTTATGAGATAAGAGAAGATGAGGAGATACGAGGTTCCTCCTACCTGTGAAGCCACTCGGACACACACACTGATAAGAGTTGATCAGATCCTGGCAGCTTCCTCCATGTTGACACGGAGCAACCTCACACTCATCCACGTTGACTGAGCAGTTGTCTCCTGCAAGAGGAAGAAACTGATCAAAGTCACATCTACTGTTTGTCCTCACTTCACCATGAGAAGCTGAAGCTCTTCTGTGAAACCAGCTTACCAGTGAACCCGGGCAGACAGTGGCAGATGAAGCCAGCCGCTCCTTCATATGTGAAATTGGCTGTGTTGAGTTCATGAAGTGTCCCGTAGTTTAGGACATCTGATCGCTCGAAACACTTGCCACCGTTCTCACAGGGAAGGCGCTCACACTCGTCTACATCCACCTCGCAGTTATCTCCCTCGTAACCTGGACAGACACACACACACACACACACACACACACACACACACACACACACACACACACACATTCAGGAAATGACACCAGTGCAGCAACAGTCAGCATCATCATCAGCCAAAACAGTGACATGATGGTTGGACTGGGAAAGAAATTCAGGCCTGTTTGGTGCTTGAATCATGTCAGGAAGAAGGCACATTCTACCCTTCTGTTGCCACCAGACCTTGAGGAGTTTTATCCGCTTGAACACGCACACAAAAGACTGTCATGCACACCCCGAATGACAGGCACAAAGAGAGAGAACCTGATGAGAATGGTAAAAACTTCTGGTGCACCAACACAGCGGCTCACTAGGATTTTTCCCCACTCATCCCGATGACCAGTCAGACTACAGGAGACTGAACATGACTTACTATAAACTATATTTTAGACTAAATGTGACTCTCCAGCTCTGACACGGCATGAAAACAAAGTGTGAAGATAGAGTAGGTATGTCAACTCTTGACAAACGTTTTTATGCCTCCGCACCAGTGACAGACAGAGCCATTTTGTTTTCAGGTTTTACATCCATCCGTCTCATTCTCGTGGACACGATATCTCAGTATCTTGATGGAACTTTTTCAAATTTGGCACAAACATTCCCTAGGACTCAAAAATAAACTGAGTAGATTATGGTGGTCAAATGTCAAGATCATGGTGACCTCACGTTCTTGTGAATGTGAAACACCCTGAGGCAGTTTTCATCACTTCTGTCACTCTGACCTCACAAAACACGTTTAGCCATAACTCATGAATTAATTCACTAATTATGACACAGTTTAACTCAAATGTCTATAAGAATAAAATTAAGTGATAACATAACATTAGCCAATGTTGCACATTGCTGGTGCTGTAGTCACATTAGAAAAGTGATCAATACATGTAAACTGATTCACATTCTTACATATAGGACCTTTATTACAATACTCATGAGCCAGTAAGTATGTTATAAGAGTTACTGGTGACTGTAATCATTCATCAGAGGCTGTGATCATTTCCTAGCATTCACATCAATAAAACACAGAGTCAGAGTATATGGTTAACTGGAGCTGATGTCTGTACAGTAAACAGACCAGATCGTTGGTATCAAATATTCACAGACTGTAAAACCACAGCTGTCAACACAACAACTAAACAAACATGTCCCTCCACCGCAGGTGTAAAGTGTGTTCACAGAAACGCACAGAGGGAATTTCACAGCAAAAAGGATGTCACTTTATTTTGATGCTGAGGGCTCATTTTAGCTGCTTGAACATAGAATGCATTTTGCTGGATTTAGCGAATTTAAGACACCCTTAACAAGCCCAGTGACATAGTTAGCTACTTCCTGGTTTATTTTTCCAGAAAATATGCAATTCCCATAATTTCATTGTTTGGATCCTTTATATGAGAGCTGTCTTAAAAATGTTTCTGAAAATACGGAAAGATTATGATGCTGAAAAATAAGGGCTAATGCTGACGCTACTTAGAGTCAATCACTTAGTATAGAGAGAAGGAATGATTACAGACTAATATGTCTCCCAGAATACAATACAATACATGAGTATACTGTGCTAACATGGAACCTGTCCTTTAAGTCTTCACATCATAACACAGCAGGAAATCTGCTGACGTCTCTGTCTGCTGAAATGTGCTTGTGCATCACTTCTCATAATTCTGCCACACTGCTGCTTTTATTGATCTGTGCCATAAATGACAGAGGGGGAAAAAGGCTGTTTTTTTTAGCCCCCCCTCTTGTTCTCTATACTCAGACGAACTATTTTGTGGAGTTTGATTTATGTGTGGAAATCCTCCAGCCTCCAGAGGACATTCATCTCACCCCGTTCCCCCTGTGAGAAGGCCAGGATGAACACAGGCCAACCAATGACAGGTGCTGCACTCGGTCTTCAGTGATCAAGCAGAACTCTTGATCCATGGTGACTTCTGGTTTACATCACGTCTAGTGTTGAACTGTACCTGGCCAGCAAAGACACTTGTACTGGTTGATTCCCTCCAGGCAGGTGGCTCCATGTTTGCAGGGGTCAGATGCACATTCAGGAATATCTTCCTCGCAGTGGTCGCCGACAAAGCCTGTCCCCTCACAGTCGCAGTCATAGCTGGGAAAAAGCAGAGATGCAAATGAGCCTGTCTCAGTCTGTGATTGTCAACACACTGTCAAACAGATGTGTAGATTCTTTGTGTGATTCTTTGATTTCTTGGAAAAATCAGTAATTTAATCAGCGGCTCATTTTCTAGTGGAGGAACCGAGATGACAGGATAATAACACACTTCACTTCTTAAGATACACTAACATGAAACAAACATGTCTCCTGGTAAAATAAGTTGTTTTCATTTTTTGATTCTTTATCTGTGACATGCTAAAACATATTGCAACAGTAGCACAAGGAGAGATGACCCATATAAAACATACTTAGCTAACATTAGCCACTGTAAGCTACTGGTCATACCAGACCAATGAATTTAATCCCTGAGTGTATTGAATTGGGCAAAGATGTGTTTTATACTATAGCTTGTGAATTCACCTTCTCATTTCTAAGAAAAAAAATGTACATGATCCGAATTCAAATTCAAAGATAAAACCATATATTAAGAGATTATAAATAGAACATTGTGATGTTTGCTGTAAAGATTGTGATTAACAAGGTTTAAAGAAAAGAAACGAAATAAAACTTCAACACAAATGACATGAAAAAACAGCCTCATTTCAGTAGATTCCGATACAGAAATATAATATATGACATATACTGTATGCCCCTATATCAAGAGTGATGTTGCCATACAGTATATGTCACCTATAAGGGGATATATTATAATCACATATATACATCCTCTGGATATATGAAATCGTTTATAACATATATGAAATACCCACAGTAAAACTTGTATATGTACATACAGTATGTTAAAAATTATCTATATGATGAATTTTTATATCATATAACATTTTTGTGACTATATATGTTAATAATATATATTCAATTTATATGTATGTATGGATTCACACAAATAATACAAGCAAAAACTGCCCCTGTTGGGGCGTCGAGTGGTGCAGTGGGTTGAGCAGGCGCCCCATATGTAGAGGCTGCAGTCAGCCCTGGTTCAGATCCTGCATCGGACGGCCCTTTACTGCATGTTATTCCCCCTCTCTCTGCCTCCCCATTTCCTGTCTCTCTCTACTGTGCTATCAATAAAGACATAAAAAACCCGAAAAATATACTAAAAAAAAAAAACCTGCCCCTGTGGTTTGCTCATCATTGTATGTGAGTTCACTCAGGTATATGAACAGGTGTGTAGCTGGTGGTGAAGACCCGATTAGTCCTCTCGCCCCTGAACGTACACTATGTAAAATATAACATGCTTCATTCCCCCTCCCTCCTCACACCCTGCTGTTCCAACCAGCTTTACTACTGCACCAGGTATTATCAGCACCTCGGCCCTTTAATGACTCATCACAGTGACTGACAGTGGATTAATTCTTATCCCTGGTCAACTTTAATGTGTCAGGCTGACACAACACACTGCTGCATGACACATCGGCCTCAGCAGGCTCAACACGAGACACATATACATTATATACACAGATGTAGAGACAGGTACAGCAGCTAGCACCAGAATCTGTTGTATTAGTTATATATATGAGATGTGAGGATGGGATCAGTCAAATTTAATGTATGTGTCTACAACCTATAGCCTATAACTGAGCATTTGATCAAATTCCACAAAGTTCACATTATTGAAACATTAAGAGTAAAGATTAAACCAGTCTAGCTAAATTACATTAAAAATGGCAAACTATTGATAGAACCTTTTAAATTTTAATTATCAGTATGACTCACGTTAGATTCTGTGCAGCATCAACCAGTAACAATCTCCCAGACTCATGAGCGGCAACAACGTGGCTTTATTATGTCAGTCAAAACATGGCGGACGGCAGTCACAGTGATCCTCCAGAGATTTTTCTAGCACACTTTTTGTACCAGAAGTAGCAGGTAAACCCGCTACATCTTAGTTAAACAAAAACTAAATTATGTTAAATAAAATTTCTTTGTTTTAGTTAAACCCTTGCCTTGGTCTCAGAGGCGTACGGTGGCCCTGAAAGCTCAACACTCAGAAAACACATGCAAACAGACAAACCAAACACATTTAGAAAACATTGTCTGAGCTGCAAATACTCACGTCACAACACAGGTGACAGGTGACACAAGCGTGGGGGTAGAGCGCATACCATGAAAACATAGTCCTAACCACAGCAGCCGGGGTTCAAGTCCGATCTGGGGCCCTTGGCTATGAGTTACCCTCTCTCTTTCTCTCTTGCTATCATAATTGAGGCAAAAAAAAAACTTAAAAAGAAAAAGGTGATGAACCCGACTGGGACGCACTTGTTCATTTAGTGTCCCCTGGAAACACTTGTGTTGTGTTCTGAGTATTTGCAGCTCATGTGTTGTCAGACTGATGAAGATTTTTACTGAAGTTGTTTGTGTTTTGTCTGTTTACATGTGTTTTCTGAAGTTGCACTGTGTTGAGCTTCAGGGCCCCTGTACCAAAACCTTTTCACGTGAATCTAGAGTCAAACCAACTATAGAATAATAAACTTAAACATTCTGGTGTTAGACATTTCTAAGAGGAAACAATTTAATTTCAGTCTACTGATTTAGGATGAAAATTGGCACTTGCACTTTTATCAAAGTTCAACTGCTCCTTTGTTTTACAAATATGAAGTTTCAGGTGATGAACATGAGATCAGATGACAAACCTGTCAACCTAAGCTGTGCAGGTCTACAACTCACATATCGGTCTGTTGTATGTACAGTTTAGGTATGAGTAACTGTTCATCCATCAGAAACAATGTATGTGCTGACAGTGTAAATATGCAGGTGTGTAATCCTTACCTGTTGACTCTGTCTATGCACCTGCCCTCATTGAGACAGGGCGCGCTGGCACACTCGTCGATGTTGACCTCGCAGTCTCGGCCCTGAAAGCCGACCACGCACTCACACTTGTATGCGGCGACGTAGTCTCGGCAGGTGGCGCCGTTCTGACAGGGCTTCACCTCACACTCATCAATCTCCACCTCGCAGTTAATCCCTGATGGGAACAACGGCAGAATGACAGTGGGCCGAGGCAACACCTAATTATCTTAACACACGTACAGATACAGCACAGTAACAGTGTAGCTGCTAGGAGCTCAGCTGCAGACACACAACAGCAACACTTAAACTGCTTAAACAGAGCCATGAAACTTCCTCTCATGTAGGAAATGAGACATGGTGTAAAAACTCAACACATCTCACTCTCTATACAACAGTAGAAATAAAGCTACATACCATGTGTAATGTCTGCTCACAGGGGGAGAAGCCTGTATTTGTCTGCTTGGCAATGTTATCAAAAACAGCCTGATGGGAAACTGACATGTCACTGATGGCATCACAGTTTACACCCCCTCTTTAACTCTCCCACACTACCTGGAGAGGTAGTGTCTGCATTTTGTATGTCGCCTGTTGCCTTCAGGTACAGAGTTCAGGTACAAAATTGCAAAAATTCTCACTATCTTTTTTTGTAATTCATTAAAAATTGAAGACAACTTGTACCAGTGAGAATAAATCCAGTGCAGTGCAGGTGGTGACCCAGTCTTCACAATGTAAAGTATGTAAAATCACTTGCCTCTCCTGGGTTGGTTATATAGATGGAAAAAATCTCACCACAAAGAATATGAAGCCAAGTTCCAGACTGGGGCGGATCAAACATTGAGCTCAATCTGTTTGTTTAGTTTTGTTTTACTTTCACGTGAACAGTCGACATTTTAGTGTTCAACAATTACAGTCCTCCATCCCAGTAAATCACAAGAGGTCGCAAGATTCATCTGAGATGTTGCAAGAGCAACAGTAACACCAGTATGGTTAAGATCATGGTTATGGCAAATAAGATATGATTATTTTTAAACAGCATAAAGACAACAAAGGTCTGGATTACAGTTAACATAAAGACAAATGTAAATGTCTGCATCAGGACACAAACACTGGTCTCAAACTCCTATTTAATATAGGCCTACATTTAATTAGGAGTCTGCACCAAATTAAAGTTAAGGTCAAATTATTAATATCCATTGATTCTTATTGATTGATATTTCCAGCCAGTCATCACCATGACACACTCTACTGTCTCACCTTTGAAGCCTGGAGCACAGTCACACCTGTAGTGATCCACCTCATCCACACACGTGCCGTTGTTCTGACAGGGCCGGGAGGCGCACTCGTTGATGTCCAGGTCACAGTGGGAGCCTTGAAACCCGGGCACACAGAAACACTGGTAGGCGTTGACCCCGTCTTTACAGATGGCTCCGTTTTGACAGGGCTCGGACTCACACTCATCTATGTTCTCCTCACAGTTGGGCCCCTGGTACCCGGCAGCACACTGGCACTGGGGCCCAGTGTCAGGGATGTCCATACAGGTGCCTCCATTCTGGCAAGTGTCCTCTGAACAAGTGGTCACATTGTCCTGGCAGTTGTCCCCCCCTGATCCGATGGGACAGTGGCAGGAATATCTGTTGATCCTGTTGACACAGAGGGACTTGGTGCCATTGCAGGGGTTGCTCTGACATTCATCTACATCCTGGGTGCAGTTGAGTCCCGTGAAGCCGCTCGGGCAGTGGCAGGTGAACTCATCGGTCCCAGGTTTGCTGGTACAGTTGGTACAAGGAGCCATGATACAGGGATCATACAGCTCATCGCAGGTCTTACCCATGTACCACACTGGTCCTTTGGGGCACAGGCACACATAATTGCCAAGGTGGTCCAGACATGTGGCACCATTGTTACAGGGAGCTGAGAGACAGCTGTCTGCTGCCACTGTGCACAAAAGACCTGGAAGACACAAGAGACAATATGTGTCTATGACTATCTATCTTACAGGTCTAAATCTCAAACTCTCAAACTGGAGGGACAGCGAAAGTTCTCCATTGCCACTAATTCAGACTCTGTAAATTCATCTTAATATTAATGTTATCAAATTCTTGTGCATATACTGTATACACTTATCTGCTCCAAAATCATATATTTAATACAAATTAGCCTCTTAAACATATGAACATGAGCACTGGTGTTGTGTCTATGTGTTTATGTGGGGTTTTTTTCATGTCTATTTACATGCATCATTCTGCCCATTTAAAAACATCTTGTGTATAATAATCTTCTGTGTTTTTGTTTATAAACAAATCTAATGCCATTAGATTTGTTTATTTATTTGTTTAAATCTAATGCTATTAGAGTTGTTTATTTACAGTGGGTGACATGGAAGACATGGTGACTGAAAAAACATGAAAAACATAAAGCTTAATAGAGACAGACAGTTGATAAGATTGGATTTGGTAGGGTATGTTGTGTGTGTTTGCAGAATGTATTCGATTTTTTGATGCTCTTTATTTGTTAAATTGCATCATACCCCCCACCAAAAAAAACAAAACAAAAAAAAACACATGCACATACATATGCATACTCTATACTATATATACATACTACTCTGATTAAACAAGTAAATTTAGCTTGATAAATAAATGAATAAAAATAAAGAAGAGAGAAAGAAAAAAAACATAAAAACAGGCTTTAGCCTACATTTTTACTTCCGCTTTAAGGACCCCCCCCCCCCATTCATTCCTCCTTTCTTTCCTCCTCTCCCTTTATTTATTTGTTTCTATTATTAATATTATGTTTGTATTTGTTTTCTGGATCCTCTTCCATCTCATGTCAAATAGTTTTGCTAGATCCATAATACTGTGATTTATTTCCATTTTATTAATTTCATTAATTGTGTCCTTCCATTTGCTTCACCGTGGTGCTTCTGTTTTCAGACAATGTTTTGTTATTTGTTTAAGTTGCTGCTCTTAATATTCTGAAAAGATATTTCTGGGTTTGTTGAGAAAGTTGTTGTAGTGTTTAATTGCTCAGGCTGCAGACTGTATTCTAATACATTGTGTAATATTTTTATATCTACAATAAACAAAAGTACTTTAGAGTGGTGTGAATGATGTCGCTCAGTCCTCAGTTCCTCTCAGCTCCATGGAGCTTTTCAGCCTCTTTCAGACCACTGCATTGGTTTTATGGCTCTCAGATTTACTGCTTGGTTCACTATCACTACTCTCATTGGTTCATTCATTCTCAATTCTTCAGTTCCAGTAAAAGCAGACCTCTGATAAACCCACTACACACTACTTGCCCAGTTCTTAGTGGTGGAGACCAAACACAGAGCTAAAAGGAGAGTGAATATTGGATTTCATTTAGTCAGGTGACCAGAAACATGACTCCAAATCAATGTAAATGTAATATAATATTCTATATTGTTTTATTGTTATTTTGTAATCAAGTGTATATTTGTTATTAAATGATGAGGTCTGGGTGTTTGACTGTTCAGCCGATGTCAGGCTCTCACGATTTAAAACATTACATAGAATATTTATATGTATGTATATATATTATATAATACATAATAATACAAACTGATAACTTCAGTTTTCTTAAATCAATAAGTCTCCAAGAATAAAGATAATGGTACATATTTTAAACTTTTACCAAGAGCGTGATAGATATACAACAGTGAATGAACTCCTCTCTAAGCTGTAGTAAACTGAGCGGCTGACACAATCTACTGTTCTGCCCTGTGATTGGCTGTATGACTGTGGGGCTTATACGGTGGGCTAACTATGACTCCAACGCTTTATAGGTGCTTACATCAAATAGGGTGATGAAGAGTAACAAGCCTCTGGACTTAGGATCACAGCAGATGGTGTTACCAGTAAACTTATTACATGATTGAGCTATAGCAGCTGTCAGTGTTGTCTATGAGCGTCTCACTCACTACTGTTTGTACACAGTTTAGGCCCTAACAAGTAGACTTGTTTTGGACACTTTTAAGAAATGCCCACCGAAACAATCCCATATCTGTTTAAATGTAGCTTCATATAGAATATCTTCAGCGGTTTATACTGTATTCCTATGCACAAGTTCAGCAGAGTGAATCAGAAAGCAGCGTGTTTTTTTTCTTTATTATGGTTTGCAGCTTTTATTGATGACATTTGGAAAAATTCATGGTCTGTTTTTTGTTCCGTTTGTTTGTTAAATGGTATTTTAACCCTTACTATACTGTACATCCTGTGTTTAGACAATACTGTACAGTCTGTGGTCAGACTATACTGTACAGTCAGACAAGTCTATATTGAGTGACAGTGCTGTGAAAGGCGCTGCCAAATAAAATGTATTATTATTATTATTATTATTATTATTATATATAATTAGCTGAGGTTGTACTGATTCTTACATCATCGTCATGTTCGCTGTCTCAGTTGATGCAGGAAGCAGGAGCTTGCCAGCCTGTGGGTCAGACAGTGACGTATTCCAGCAGCTAATAACCAACATGAAGCAAGAGGAGTAGTAAACCAGAAGAGCATCCATGTATTGATTGACAGCTTATAGCTCCCTTCCCTGAGTTTTGCCTTCTCTGATTGGTTAGAAGGGCAGCAAACTTTAGGAGGGAAAATCTCTGCCAGGCTGTTCAATGAGTCTGAGTCACAGAGGTCTTTGGCAGCACATCTCCAAAACATTATAAAAAGGAACATACTGCAGCTTTAACGTTAGTCACCATAAACTAATGCTGATACCATATTGTCTTGAGCAAAGATGCATCTTATAGCTGATGACCTCAGCTTGTTAGGGGAAGATTGTGTTACTTATTTTTTTCTTTCAAAAGTTATGAATCTGGATTCTCTGTCACCCATCAGGCAGAGGAATCACATGACAACAAGACCAAGATGTCTGAGTACTTTCTCTCCTGTGTCTCCACAAACACCCACACTCACAGCACTGTGTGGATAAAACCGTCCAACATAATGGAGGATGATCTGCTTCTCCTCTGGCAAATCAACAACAACAACAACAACAACAACAACAACAACATCCCAGGAACAATGAGTTTATATTTTCCCTGCAACACCTAAACTCCTCATTTCCCACTGCATCCACTTTAACACCCCCAGTTCCTCTCACATGCATCTGCTGCTGTCACACCCATTATCTTCCTCTTTACACCCCTCTCACCTCCACCTTCACCATCACCATGCTCTCTTTGTGTGAATTGTTGTTGGAAGTTTAGTTTTTTAGATGTATCAAAATCCAACCATAAATTGAATGAACAAAAGAAATAATCTTTCATTATTTTATGAATGATTATAGTGAGTAAAAAGTGTTTCTTTTGCTGTAAATCTGAATATATTCTGATTTAAGAGGTACTAGTGACTACAGTCATGTTCAAGCTCCATCCAGTCTAAAGGTCTCTGTCCATGTGTAGTGTGATTATAGATCTGGTCTAGGTTCTATATTAATACTGTGAAAGTATCAAAGCCTCAGTCCACAGAGAAATGCACACAGCCTGTATTCAGACACTGAGCCTTAAAACCAGCCGTCAGGACTTCTGGGACTTTGTGATGTCACAACAACACAGGAGTAAAGTGACAACGCTCACAGGCTGAAGTTTTTGGTCATATCACTATGTTCATCATCTTAGTTTAGCTTGTTAGCATGCTAACATTTGTCTGAGGGAAGGTCATTACTCTTTATTTATTCAAATGTGTTTTTAATGTTTTAAATGCTGTTTTAACACATCATCTTATTCTTCTATTTCACGTATTTCCACACCTCTCTAAAGCACTTTGCCTGGTGTCTGAATGGTGCTGTAGAAATAAACTTTGAAATAAAAATAAACTACTGTGAAGGATTAAATACAATAAACTATCATTTTGCTCACTGTTACAGAGTGTGTTCATTCGATGGTAAAGCTGCTTTGTTTTCATGTTTCTTTCTGCTTCTCTCAGCCCAAGCTGTGAGGTGTCATTGCCTCTGTCTTACATCATCTTTATACATCTCCCTCTGTTGGTTCTCACTTGTACTGAAATCATTTATACATTTATTCCTGGATCCTCCCCAGGACTGACCTGTAAAGCTGAACTCCGTCAGATTCATGCACTTTAACCTCCACTACCTGTAACCTCATGAATCCTCTGGACTGACAAGGACAGTGAGGGTCTCCCCCCATCCAAACCCAATCAACCTCTCACACATTCCTGGGAGCTGATAGCTGCTCCTCCTACACACAGCCCGACCCCCCTGCCTCAGAACACCTCATAGATTATTGCAGGACAGGGTTGATCCCTGGCACTGAGTGGTACCAGCATCTCCAGCCAACAATAACACTGAGCAGAGCTGCTGACTGATCAAACCACTGACGCTGTCCAGAGAGCTCAGCCTGTATCTATGGGGTTCCCCAAACCTGGGCAGGTGAGGACTGGACTTCTGTAGATGTTAGTGTCAGAGTGAATCCATGGCTATGTTTAGAATTGATTTTAAAACCTTTTCAATCACTTTTAAGGCTCCTCATCTTCATCTCAGATCTGCTTTCCCTTTATGACCAAACACGCTGCCGGAGATCCTCGGGCAAAATCAAAGGTGACTTTGCGTTTGCTGTTAGCGCCTCCAGAGTTTGGTTTGCCCAGCCTGAGGAGATCAGGCGCTGAATCTCTGCCACATTTTGAATCACTGCTCAACACATACTATAAAGCTGCTTTTAATTCCTGACTTTGATGCTTTTATCTTTGGTTTTTAACGACTTTCTTTTGTCTGTTTTATTGATTTTATATTTTCTATATATGTACCTGCCTCGCTAATTTACACATAGTCTCTCTCCCCTGTTTGTTGTTGCTTCTTTCTGTTTTTATGTGTGTTCGCAGCACAACATAACTCTGTGCTATATAAATAAAGTTATTATCAGTATTATTATTATCAAGGTAGGACAGACAGTAGGAGGAGAGGAGCACACCTGATCATGCAACTTGGATTATTTTTTACATTCAGTTGCAACTGATAGAAATGATGTTTTCACTGTATGGAATAAAGTACAGTCTGCATATAAACTGTACACCAGTCAGAGTTCCTCATGCTTCATATTCAAATTCCGCTGATGAAAATATTCCCCAACAGATGCACTGTTTCCCCTGTTTGAGTAACGCTTAAAGAAAATAAAAAAATTAAAAATAAAAATACGATGCCCAGTTGTTGGCTGGAGAAACTGGTTAAAAATGACAATATATATTTAATCTTCATTGGAAATCAATGGGAGCCAATAACAGGGAGGGGAAGATAGAAAGTTTTGAGAGATAGACTTACATTAGTTTTGCTATTAGCATGTTATTAGAATAACTCCAGTGTTAATATCAATCTAAATATTAGAGAACCTTTTTTATGTTATTTGTGAACAGACCCATGAGAGCTATTTGTAAGTCTTGCTATTGCTAGATAGCTAACGTTACTTTAACAGCTGTTTACTTTCCAGTCTCGAAGAAACGTTGTGAGTTCAACATCAAACTTCATTCCTTCACTCACCAACGATCTCCAGAGGTGGAGAACAATGCCAACCAGCTAGCCCCGTCATTGTCCTGTACCGAGTCACTGTGACGTCCAGTCTGCCCTGAAGATGTCCACAGAGCGTGTCATAACCTCTTGTTCTTTAAATGCAACATTGGCTGAAGCTTTTCGTTAGCTATGTAGCGATAGCAAAACTTATAATTAGCTCCTTTACTGTGAAGAACACCATGAGCAAACTTTCTTCAACCTTATTATAGTTATATTTAGTATAGTTTATAAAAGGTTGGATTTTGTCTCTGTCTTTGCAGGTGTGAAAGGCCGGGGCAGAAAGAGGGGTGAGTGTTTACCCTGTGTCAAGGCAACAGCAGCACGGACTCAGCAGAGAGTCACGCTGCAGTACAGAGGAAGCAGCAGCGCTGTGAATCACAGAAAAAGGGAAGCCCCTGGCTAATGTGCAAGTTGAGCTCAGAGGAATTTTATTGATTCACGACAGGAGACTGGCAGCACTGCCTGGTTTCAGTGTTGTGCCCTGAAGGCTCCACAGCAGTTGGTTACTTTGCTTTATACAAAAAAAACATAAATCCTCCCTGAATCAGTCACAGTTACACACTGACTCTGAGACAAACATCCTTTTGTCTCCTGGCTGAGCTGTATCACTTTAACACAACATTTAGCTTTAGGGCGAACATTTGACAAAATATGTGTTTTTTAAGGTAAAGCCACCTTCACCATCTTGGCTTTTATTTTGAAATATCAGAATTGTAAGACTGGTCATTACAATTACAGTGAACTCATTGTGTTTCTTTCTGGTATTAATGAGTCATTTAAGAAAAATCATCAGTTGCCGGGCAGAGTTTTCCTCCTTTAGTTTTTACATACACTCACTATCAGCCCCAGACTTTTCAGCCTTTGGTTCCAGAAGCTATTAGAACAAATTCTCATTGAATTAGTCACATTTTTACACTGAAAGTCTCGCATGCACTTGTCTCCACTGTGTATCATCAGGAGATGGCGGGCCTCCAGGGGCCCCTGAAGGAGAGGGAGGATGGTTCATGTGGTATTTTTCCTGTTTCAAACAATTTCATTAAAGTTAAAAATCCTGTACTTGTAGGTCCTTTCCCCAATAGACAAACCCTGCAGATCCCCTGTCATCCTCATTTTCATCATACATGTGCTCTGCTTCCTGTTTGTGTTTTCAGCTTCTGTCGGTTTCTTTAAATTCTCAGGAGCTCACAGTGCCAGGTCTCTTGCCACGCTCCTTAAGAACCATCATTCCTCCCTTTCAGAGATGAGACAAAAAAAGCTGTGGAGCAGTGCAGCTGGACGCCCGGCTCGTTACCATGGTGATCCTTAACAATGCCACCCACAGCCAATCCCCGCTGCTGACCCGCCACCTTTTAAATGAGCCTCAGACGCTTTTACATAAACGAAGGTCGCGGGAAAACTGGGTCAACAGAGTTTCATAAGGTGACTGGGTCGACCCCCCCCCCCCCCAAAAAAAAAAAAAAAAAAAAAAAACTAAGACACTCCCCAAGACTGGTGCTGCACCAGTTCCACATTCATCACACATGTGAGTCATGAGGAAACCAGCTACTTAGATCCTGTTCAATAAGTTCTTTATCTGTTATAGCCTAATCCAAGAAGCTGTTAGCACTTGAATTTAGAATCATAGAAATCATCAGGATTCACACATCACACATCACTGACTCTGACACAAATAATGATGCTGAAACTCCTGTTTGAAGATGGATTTCTTCTTCTTTGCAATAAATAGTAAAAAAAAAAATAAGAAAAATATCTTATTGATCCATTATTCAAAGTAGTTTTCTAGGATGCTATAAAGTATATTAATTGGAAGTTTAAAAATTGATCATAGTATGTGTTTTCCTTATATTTAGAACCAAATTAAATGATTATTTACAGGAAACTAATTGTGAGTTATTATTAAATTATTAGTAAATGATTTTACAGTTTGGGTCTGTAGTGGTTCTCAACACAAGGTGCACACATAAACATGAACACGTGTGCTTCACACACAAACAAAGTTAACAGATGAAACGGTGAATTGTTGGATTTTCCTCTTAAAATCTAAATATGTATAAATATGAAAATCTAAAAGTTCCTCTTATGTGTCAATGTTTATATTAAAGTGAGCTGATCGTCGCAGTGAACTGCTGACAGGTTGATGACTTACCCAGTTTGAACATCATCACGGTGATCAGCACCGTCCGCTGATATCTGGACCAAACTCTTCCAAACTCCATGTTGAGGCTCAGTCAGCTGCTCCAGTCAGAGCACAATGATGCTGTCAGTCCACCGGTTCTCCATCCAGCCCGCTGCAGCACTCCACCAGGCTGCTCCAACTTAGCTGCTGAGAGTGAGGGGCTGCACCTCCATGCCGGACCACTCTGTGGACTCTGTGTGTGAGTGCGTGTGTGTGTTGGAGTGTGAGTGAGTCTCCTTGGGGACCAAGCTGGGCTGGAGTAAAGCAGAGTAATCACCCCAGCAGAGAGGAAAACATGGGACGGACAACTGGATTCCACTCATTCAACCACTACTTCATTGACGGCATATCACTCATATTACTTTATATTACTTGATATCACATATGCCCATCACAGAGGCTGTGATGTTTTAAGTAATTGGACTAATTCAGCTCCAGACATTTTCAACAACAGTGGGTATACTGTATATTATACTGTTTATCTGTACAATAAATCTTATCATTTATACTTGTAATAAACCAGAAAAAAATCTGAAATTAATAATATTGCATTATCATTTAATAGATTATATGGGTCACCAAATTAGAAACTGAATAAATCAAATCAAATTGACTTAAATAAACCAGGGTCAGATCTCAAACTCAACAACATGCTTTCTTTGCTTTTGTTTAATGTGTAACTCCCCCTTTATTTTGGTGCGTACAGAGTATGTATACGTAGATCATACAGATGGCAATAAATGTTAATCTTGTAAGTCTTAGATATATTCTAATTACATGTAATTACCCCAGTCATACTATAGAACCGAATTTGATTGGATATTGGTAAAATATTTCATCGATCGCCTGTTGAACAACAGTGGAAACAAGTCCAGGACTGATGATATCAGAATTTTGTCAATAATTCAAAATCATAATCATCTTCTAAATAGTTTTATGAGTTGGTTTTGAATGCAGGTCTTGGATCAGTGGATGGTTGCTCCCCAGTCCCCTCAATTTCCACCCCCACCTTCTGCAGCAGAGGTGGAAGGGGCTTATCCAGCCCTATGTGGTTGGCAGAGGCCTCTATTGCAGCCAGACTAATGCCTTACTCGCCCTCCCTCCGACTCCCCACCCCCAATACCAGACCCCCACCCCCTCCCATGTCCTGAGCCCAGCGTAAGGCTTAACTCCAACCTGCTGCGATCACAACAAAAACATTTAATTAAACATTTGGTAAGAAGGAGGGAGGGAGGGAGGGGAGGAGGGAAGGAGGGAGGAGGGGGTGGGGGGGGTTCTCCTCACAGCAGCGCCTTCAACAAGCAACATGCAAATGTGTAAAGTGGTGATTCACAGCAGCTCCACAGCTTCACATTCCTCAGTGACTGGCTGCTGTTTTCATTAAAGCTGCCTCACAATAGAGGATGAGACAGCAGGCTGACAGAGTCTCAGGCAGGTCAGCCTCACAGAGAGCAGCCTGAGCTCTGTCTGTCTGTCAGGGACATAGACTGTACTTTAAGTCTCATTTTACATGTGTGACTCCCACTACACACTCGGCAGACGATGGTCATGCACCACAAGGCGGAGCTGATACACCAAAAAGCTGTTTATCAATCGCCAAAAAACACCAGAGGAAGAACTGTTTCATGACAGCACCCAGCAACTGAAATCACAGCATGTCTTTCAGCGTGGTGGAGCCTGCACCAGCCTGTTATCTAGTTTATGTTTTTTAATTTAGTTTGTGCAGGATAAATATAGTGTCCATTGCATCTACACTTTACATTTACTGTTCCTCTTTTTTCATTTTTAAAAAAAATAAAATGCAATGAGCTGAATTACATCTGTAAACCAATCTGAGTCCATCTGAGTTTATAACACATTGTTTCAGCATAAAACATGTCCTGATGCTGTATATTCTTGGATTTTAAAAGTTTCTTAGCCTGTGACTCTATAGTAGTAAACAGCAAGTGCGTAGGTTTGCATATAGGACAGAGCTGTCCCTACCAATATTTGAGTGAACTTGTTCGCAATATGTTCGGAGTGAAGTCATATTAGATCATTCCAATGTGTTATTTATTTTCAACAGACAACTGATAAATTAATTAATTAATTTAATTAATTTAAAAATGCACTTTGGCTCTAATGCAGCTGCCTGTCTCTGATCTGTAGTTTCCACTCTGTGATCAGGAGCAAAGTCCCGCCCACAACACCATCTGATTGGTTTCACATCATGAGTAATAGCCTATCCTAGCTGTGTGTCTATTAAATTAAAGAGCATCTTTAGGCTGCCATGTTAATCAGTTCATAGGTGAGAACAGCACCAAAATCAAACTATTCATTCCAGTCAGTTTCTTTGCAGTCTGTGCATACAACTGATAATTACTAATAAACACTCAGTTGTCAGTTTATTAGTAACATGTAGCTAAAACTGATGGAGTCTAATACAACAGTTCTGCAGTAAATCCTCCTTCATGAAGGTTATAATGTTCAGTTTTTATTCAAATTGATTTAGACAGTTGTTGATTGAACTGTATGATCATTGTGGAGGATGTAGTGTGTGGAGCTGTGTTACATTATAGGTGTTTCCGGTGTTATTTAGCTACTTTCACTGATATAAATGGGGTGGACAAAATAATAGAAACACCTCAACGCCATGGTGAGAGTCTTGATCAAATGAATAAACGGTTAAAGTCACTTTCTTCATAAACTACCAGCATTAAATTAAAAGATAATGAGCTGTAAAAAGTAATTGAATAGTCAAGTCAAGTCAAGTCAACTTTATTTCTATAGCACATTTAAACACAGCTTGAGCTGACCAAAGTACTGTACACACAGCAATTAAAATAAATAAGTGCAACAAATACATATACAATGCATAAGAGACATATAAGTATAATAACAAACAAGTAGACAGCAAAAAGCAAATGCTCAATATGAGCATGACAATGGACTAGGAGGGTAGTGAGCTAAAAGGCCAGTGAATGAAAATGTGTCTTTAACCTAGATTTAAAAATGGAGAAGGAAGGAGCACATCTGATATCAGTTGGAGCTTTCATAATTTTTGAGCTGCATCTGTGAAAGCTCTGTCACCTTTTAGTTTTAGGTGATCTCATGGGACATGTAGAAGGGATGAGCTTTGAGATCTGAGAGATCTAGGAGCTGAGTGCCAGTAGATGAGATCTGAGATGTAAGGTGGGGCCTGACCGTTGCAAACCTTAAAGGTCATCAGCAGGGTCTTGAATTGAACTCTGAAGTGAACAGGAAGCCAGTGAAGGGAGGCTAAGACTTGGGTGATTTACTTGCCTTTTTTAGTGCCAGTCAACATCCTAGCAGCTCCATTCTGGACCAAGTGTAAGCAGGATAGTGAGGTTTGAGGAAGGTGTAAACACAGAGAATTGCAATAGTCTAGTCAAGAAGTGATAAAGGCGTGAATTACTTTTTCCAGGTCATTTAAGGACAGAATCGGTTTCAGTTTGAAGATGGTTCTTAACTGGAAGTAACTACTTTTAACAACGGATGTGATATGTTTGTCAAGGCGAGGTTGGAAGGGAATCTGTAGGTTGGGTGGTAAAGTTGTGTATCATCTGCATAGAAATGGCAATAGATGTTATGTTTTCTGATGATATTTCCAAGGGGCAGCATGGACGATGTTTCCAAGGGGCTGAATAGGACTGGCCCGATAAATAAAGAATTTTTTTAACCTTGGCTCAATTAACCCCAAAACTCAACTGAAGTCCACTGAAATGAATATGGGCTAAACAGCCGCTGCCTTGGCACTATAAAGGGTTTTTCTTGACTACCTGTCAATTTTCCCACCTGGTTCTTCCTGCTTTTGCTTTCTCTTCCTGCTGCTTCCATCCTGCTCTCTCTCCTCTCCCTCTCTATCCTCCTGTCTCCCTCCTTGTGCCGTCAACCAAAAGGCAAGCGTAACAACCAAACAGATCATTTAGAAATAAAAGCTAAATAGACTACTTAGGGCAATACAGTGAGATAACATCTGTTTAACTTTACCCCCTCACCTGAACCTGGACACTTTCCTTTAAAAAACTATTGTATATCCATCTATTTCCAATGAGCCAGAGTTCGTTCCAGTGCTTTGTTTTTTTCCAATTCACTGTCCATATGTACTGTAACATCAGTTAGCTCCTTAGCTGGAAATTGTGCAAGCAGACTAGCTCAGAGAGCTAACATTAACCGATAGCGAACTACATCAGCAAATGTTCTTTGACACAAAGTTGAACCATAACCAGTTCAGACACTTTCTGTTATAATGCCAAGTTGGCCCAACGTTCTCAGAACTATTTATTTGCCAACGTTTCAACATACTCGTGCTTTTACTCTGTGGCATGAAACTCACTCAACTCGTGGGCTCCTCCGTCTTCTTCTACTACTTTGCTCTTCCGTCTTCTTCTAGATTCACTGACGTGGCGGACTAAAGGTGCATGCCGCCACCCATTGTATTGAGTGAGTGATTGTGTAATGTCATGTCAATATACACTATTATGGATTAATTATAAATTGCTAACTTATATTTAATGTAACCATAGTCCACGTATTCTTATGTGAACTTGTAAGTTATTATAACGCATGATCATTTCCTGAAGTTTTAGTCTTTGATCTGACACTACATATTTTTATTTAAATATAAATATTCTGAATATAAATTCAGAACCTATTCGTTAATAAACCATTTGGTTGACTGCGTTAAAAAGTCCTATTTGTTTTGGAGGGGTTGTTGCGTCCCTACCAATGTTGAGACCAAACCTATGCCCTTGTTAAACAGTACCTCATTTAGTTTGGGAGGGGGGCAGTGATTCAGGGACTGGGGGCAGATTGGTGGGAGCAGCTCATTTAAGAAATGAACATGAACTACTTCATTATTTTGGGACTGTGAAATTCAAAATTCAAAATTGTGAACTATGAACTTCGAGATCTTGTGACTGCTTTTAATAACCACCTCTGATCTTAAAGGTGAAGATGACGTGACAGATGTAGCCGGAATGGCAGGACTAGCAGGAACATATATTTATGTGACATATAGCTATAATATAAGCATACATACATAAACAAATATATATGGGCTAGAAATATATGTCAATATATGGAATTGTTCCAACTTCT